GGACGGAGTCTTACAAGATGTCCAGCATCCAGTACTACTCGATCGATGTGGCAGCCTTTCTGCTGGCAGTTACTTTGCTAGTATTTACCATTTTTGTTTCAGCAGTCAGGTTTCTGTTGCGTAAATTATTTTACAGAAACAAAGTCAAAAAGGAATGATGATTGTGTTGCAAAATTTGTAACCACTTACTTCTGTATTTAGTTTCTGAAAATGAGCTCAATATAAATGTTTTTTGAATTTTCATCTCGTCAAGTGTGAATACAGATAAACAAGACAATGTTGCTGACTGACATTACTGATTATGTATAATCTTTATAATCCATACATGTACCCTTCAAAAAGTTAAATGAAATTAAAATGTAATTACAGGAAAAAAAACATTCGCAATTTGGCCATTATATTTACCATAATACAGACACAGTGTGCAATATATATATAATGAAAACCATACTGTTGCACTGTCTTACCTGTCAGCATTAATCACAATCTGTCAGGATTGGTTATTTAAGAAAATGGCTAAATGTTTTTATTGCTGATGTAATTATTAATCTTGCTATATAAATATTTACTACATGATTTTGGAATTTCTGCTATCTAATTAGTTTGCAGCTTCAAAAAACACAATTAAAATTCTTAATAATAGTTTTGTCTTTTAAACCTTTGATGTCTACAAATGTTTGGACACACCTTCTCATTTAATGGGTTTTCTTTATTTTCTTGAGTATTTACATTGTAGACTCTCTGTCAAGGCATCAAAATACTTTTCCGACAGTCTTGAACGAGTTTCCAGAGATCACAAGCACTTGTTGGCCTTTTTGCCTTCACTTTGCTGTCCATATCATCCCAAAGCATCTCAATTGGGTTTAGGTCAGGTGACTATGGAGGCCAGGCCATCTGGCACAGCACTCTATCACTCTCCTTCTTTATCAAATAGCCCTTACGCAGCCTGGAGGTGTTGTTTAGGTCATTGTCCTGTTGAAAAATAAGGACAATGACCTACCTA